ATAATTTATTCATGGGTTTCATGGTAAATATGAATGTAATTTAACATTTAACATTATTAGTTCTCATTTAAACTCATATGTTAACTTATGTTAAATATATTACTAAGTCGAAAGCCAATAGGTAAATCGCGGATTATAACCGAACCAAACCCGCAAATTATGGTTTGGATTGGTTTGGTTCGAAAAATAAAATGGTTTGATTTGATTTGAAAAAATTTCAAACTGTATAAAATTGTTTGAGTTGAAAATATAGTACAAACCGCTCAAATCGAATCGTGTTCACCCCTGGTCCTTTCAATTGATTGAGGCGGAATAGTAGCCTCGATGTTCTTGCAAGCTACGCAAGGATTTATGGGCAGGATTGGATCAATTGTTTGCATGCCCATGTTTGTTTGACCCTGATTATGCACTCTTCCCCCATATGAATTTATAGATTGAAGCACTTCGTTTCCATCAATTTTGGATAGAACATAGTTAATGTGCATTCTGGGTGAATTTTGAACCAGAAATTGGAGCAGTTGAAGAGATAATTGGTTCAATTAAATTCACACCCATGGTCGTTTGACTTCTTGTTGGTTTGATTGATGCCAATTTGGGGATTAGATGTTGTATGGGGTATAAATTGAAACAGACATGTTTTGCAAAAAATGAGTCGTAACTGTTGAAAAATTCTGAATAACAGTAGATTGACCACTTGATTGATCCCCATTCTTTTGAAAAAAATACATTTTTAATAGTATTTTGACATTATTTTAACCACACATTCTCCAATAAAATAATATTACACGCAAATCCAAAATTTTTATTATTTTTTAACCACACATTACCCAACAATACACTATTTAAAAATTCATTCTTCCCCAAAATGGGGCTCAAACAAGGGCTGAGTGGAGGCTTTTTTAGTTGATGCTAGGCGATGTTTAGGGTAGTCTAGATGAGGGCTAACAGCAGTGGTGTTGCGGGACCTTGGGTGCTGTCGACAAGGAAAGTATTCGCCAATTCATTGTTTTGGCTTGAAATTGTGGCTATTTCCAGTGGACTTGATGCCGGTAGTGGGATGAAAGTTGATAGCATGCATGGTTGGATGCTTTAATTGGTCTAAGAGAGGATTATGAATCTACCCAATAAATAGGAGCAAACCGGTCATATCTTCTCTTACAACAAACAGAAATAGATGATCAACCACAAAATCCAATTTCATTGGAAAACACATATTCAATACAGGGGCAGCAGTAGCAACTGCAGCGTTTGGACCTTCCTCATTTACCTCGATAAACGATTTGTGGAAAATGCTTGAAGCATGAATGTACCATTTCAGCGAGTCTATAGCCAGAAAAGGTAATACCAATCCCACTCTCTTACTTCAGAAGCTTCGAACCCAAAAGATATCTTGAATTTTAGAATAAGAAAAGCACCCACTTTTTCTTGTTCATATTCCTCTGACTCTCTCTCATTCGCAGAGCGAAGAAAGCGGGCTTTGCCCCAACTACTGCTATCCTTGCTTACTTCACTAGTCAACGAAATGCATCAGCAAATATAGGCACATTCTTGCTCGATCGTTTGCTCTCACTAGACCGTCCTAGAACGCGATACAAGTTCAAAAAGAATTTGGATTCGGAGCCAATTTTTTCTACTGAAGTTGGAAGTTTGTCTTTGGCATCAAGAAGAATAAAATACATCGAAGTGGGGTGGTGTGGAAAATAAATTTTTAAAAATTTGGAATGGTAGGCAGTACATATAAAAGCTTTGGATTTAATTTGTAAAAATAATAAAAAGTTTGGGTATTGAAATTGCAATTATTCATTTTTAATTTTGACATTTTTTATTGTTTTTTTCTTGTTTATTAGTAATCTGTCTAATAATCAGATGACATATGTCATCTAGGGGTGTTTTTTTCTCATTTTTGTAAAAATGAGAATAAAAAATATAGTCGTTATGAGTTCCACACAAGAAATAAAAATTCAAATTTGATGGCTTGATATGATGAATAACGGTCATATTATTCATTTTAAAGAGGGAAAAATGGGAAACAAACGGGGGCCTAATTCCAAACCCTAGATTCCAACCTGTGTGTAGCATACCTCAAAATAGGATTAGTGGCATTTATAGAATTTGTACAGAACAAATATGTGCTGACACGATTCACATTGCAATGGTTTTCATATAAGTGTTACGCTACATGCACATTGTGGTATTCATAAGATTGTCCATAATGTACAAATGACATAACGTTATTAGAGAGTTGAAAAATAGTTTTTCCAACCTTCTAATTATGAAATTTCACATGTATATTCATAAAAGGCAATTTAGTAATTGAAATCGGCACTAAATGAATAAAGATCTGGGAATGATGGTGACGATGGCGGCGGTGGGGGACCGGTGAGTGGGTTGGCGGATTGAAATTTAGGAAAAGGACAAAAATGTGAAAACTTATTATCCCAGAAAAAAAGTATTGTCTTTTTGTGGTCTTCCATTATTGTTTAATCGAAAGCAAAACCGTAATAATTACCAGTTGACAATCAGTCAGTAAAGTAAATCCCGCAGCCTTTAAGATAAAACATTTGAAAGGTCTGATTCGATAAATCCATTTTTTGTTTTTTTAATTCTCGAACCCTCTCTACTGATCTAGTGCTGTGGAAAGGTCACGGGCAGACCCATATTCAACCCTACTTCAATATAACACCCCTCTCTCTCTTCCTTATCTTTTTACCTTTTTCAGCTTATTTTTATGCTCCAGACAGATTTTTGCCTTGTTGCACTTGTTCTTTTTTTTTTTTTTTTTTGAGTAATATATGTATTATTTCTGTATGCAGGATGCAGGAATCTGAGGTTTGAATTTTTTTTTCTTTGTTATTTTTCTGTGGGGATTCTTGAGATTTGAAGGTTTTAACTTTCTGGTCAATTTGATATTTTTCTTAAGTTATGGCGTTGAAGCAATTTCGCTGTTCGTATACTGACTTTGTTTGTTGAGTTAAATTTTACTTTTATGGCTTAATGTTTCCTTTTAACTGATCTAATTTTATTTTATTTATTATTAATATATTTTTTTTTAATTCTATCTTCTGTGGTTGTTTCAGGATCTCAGGTTCTGGTTTTTGAAATTTGATGTATAGAGGCTTATAAGGTCTAGCTCTGTATTACTGGGCGTAAAGTTAAAGAGGAGATTGAAAGTGGACTTGATGCCGGTAGTGGGATGAAAGTTGATAGCATGCATGGTTGGATGCTTTAATTGGTCTAAGAGAGGATTATGAATCTACCCAATAAATAGGAGCAAACCGGTCATATCTTCTCTTACAACAAACAGAAATAGATGATCAACCACAAAATCCAATTTCATTGGAAAACACATATTCAATACAGGGGCAGCAGTAGCAACTGCAGCGTTTGGACCTTCCTCATTTACCTCGATAAACGATTTGTGGAAAATGCTTGAAGCATGAATGTACCATTTCAGCGAGTCTATAGCCAGAAAAGGTAATACCAATCCCACTCTCTTACTTCAGAAGCTTCGAACCCAAAAGATATCTTGAATTTTAGAATAAGAAAAGCACCCACTTTTTCTTGTTCATATTCCTCTGACTCTCTCTCATTCGCAGAGCGAAGAAAGCGGGCTTTGCCCCAACTACTGCTATCCTTGCTTACTTCACTAGTCAACGAAATGCATCAGCAAATATAGGCACATTCTTGCTCGATCGTTTGCTCTCACTAGACCGTCCTAGAACGCGATACAAGTTCAAAAAGAATTTGGATTCGGAGCCAATTTTTTCTACTGAAGTTGGAAGTTTGTCTTTGGCATCAAGAAGAATAAAATACATCGAAGTGGGGTGGTGTGGAAAATAAATTTTTAAAAATTTGGAATGGTAGGCAGTACATATAAAAGCTTTGGATTTAATTTGTAAAAATAATAAAAAGTTTGGGTATTGAAATTGCAATTATTCATTTTTAATTTTGACATTTTTTATTGTTTTTAACGGCATCAATTTTAACAATAGGGATTTTTGAACAAAAGATTTCATATAAGAGGATTTTCTACGATTATCAATAAGTATGAGTATATCGCACTCTCCACCCTGGCTCCTGAGAGGCACATCCTAAAATTTACTTCCTCCACGATGGCTCAGGATAGGGTCGGTGGAGGACATTAAGGTTGGGGTTCAACCTTTTTTTTTTTTTATTTTCGAGGGAGTTTTTGGTGTTAATCCTTTTTCTTTTTAAAAAAAGTTGTTACTTTGTAGCTAGCGTACTGTGTTGGACAAAAAATAGGAGTGTTTTGCTGCTGTGCTAGGGTTGTCAGCACCTGATTTCTTGTTTTTTGGTAATCTGTCTAATAATCAGATGACATATGTCATCTAGGGGGTGTTTGTTTCTCATTTTTGTAAAAATTAGAATAAAAAATATAATCGTTATGGGTCCCACACAAGAAATAGAAATTCAAATTTGATGGCTTGATATAATGAATAACGATCATATTTTTCATTTTAATGAGGGAAAAATGGAAAACAAACCGGCCTAATTCCACACCCTAGATTCCAACCTGTGTGTAGCATACCTCAAAATAGGATTAGTGGCATTTATAGAATTTGTACAGAACAAATATGTGCTGACACGATTCACATTGCAATGGTTTTCATATAAGGGTTACGTTAAATGTACATTATGGTGTTCATAAGATTGTTCATAATGTACAAGTGACATAACTTTATCGGAGAGTTGAAAAATAATTTTTTCAATCCTCTAATTATCAAATATCACATATATATTATGAATACCATAATGTACATCTGGGAATGATGGTGACGATGGCGGCAGTGGGGGGACCGGTGAGTGGGTTGGCGGATTGAAATTTAGGAAAAGAACAAAAATGTGAAAACTTATTATCCCAGAAAAAAAATATTGTCTTTTTGTGGTCTTCCATTATTGTTTAATCGAAAGCAAAACCGTAATAATTACCAGTCGACAATCAGTCAGTAAAGTAAATCCCGCAGCCTTTAAGATAAAACATTTGAAAAGCTCTGATTCGATAAATCCATTTTTTGTTTTTTTAATTCTCGAACCCTCTCTACTGATCTAGTGCTGTGGAAAGGTCATAACAGGCAGACCCATATTCAACCCTACTTCAATATAACACCCCTTTCTCTCTTCCTTATCTTTTTACCTTTTTCAGCTTATTTTTATGCTCCAGACAGATTTTTGCCTTGTTGCACTTGTTCTTTTTTTTTTTTTTTGAGCAATATTTGTATTATTTCTGTATGCAGGATGCAGGAATCTGAGGTTTGAATTTTTTTTTCTTTGTTATTTTTCTGTGGGGATTCTTGAGATTTGAAGGTTTTAACTTTCTGGTCAATTTGATATTTTTATTAAGTTATAGCGTTGAAGCAATTTCGCTGTTCGTATACTGACTTTGTTTGTTGAGTTAAAATTTACTTTTTATGGCTTAATGTTTCCTTTTAACTGATCTAATTTTATTTTATTTTTTTTATTATTATTTTTTTAATTCTATCTTCTGTGGTTGTTTCAGGATCTCAGGTTCTGGGTTTTGAAATTTGATGTATAGAGGCTTATAAGGTCTAGCTCTGTATTACTTGGCGTAAAGTTAAAGAGGAGATTGAAAGATAATCTTGATTTGAAATTGCAAGATTTTGGGATTTGGATATATAGATTTTTCTATATTGAATAGATGGTCATGGATCGGAATTTCAGGAGTTATAATGGGACGGCATCTGGAATCAAACATGATAACCAATCTGTTTCTGTGTTTCCAGATCCAAATCTGATAAACAATTTGAGAGTTAGCAATAGTTTCTCAGCTGGTAATTACGCTGATGTTCCCCCATTTTCTAGTCATCTGAATTCTAATACTTTAGTCCAATCATCTGATGCCGATACCCTTGAGGATTATGATTTTAGTGACGTGGTGCTTAAGTACATAAACCATATCCTTATGGAAGAGGATGTGGAAGAGAAAGCTTGCATGTTTCAAGAATCAGCAGCTCTTCAAGCTGCGGAGAGATCATTCTATGAGGTACTTGGGGGGCAGTATCCCGCATCTACGAATTATTATCTGCGAGTACCAAATTTGGATCAGAATGTTGAAAATTCTGATGAAAACTTTTCAGGAGATTATATAAATTGTTGTGCTACTGGTAATGCTGATTTATTCCAGGACTGGAATACTGATCCTTATTGCACTGGATTTGATGAACAGCATGTTTCTGTCGGCATTGCTTCACAATTGACTTCTCAGTCATCTTATAGCCCATCAAGTAGCACTAGTACCTTCACTGATGGTCCAGCGGATTCTCCTGTTAGTACACTTAAAATTCCTAATATATTTAATGATAGCCAATCGGTTATGCAATTTAAGAAAGGGGTTGAGGAAGCTGCTAAGTTTCTTCCTAATGGCAATAATTTAGTAGTTGATTTGAGGTACAATGAGTTGTTGGGGAAAGAGAAGAAAGAAGGGACAAATGGTATGGTATTTAAGGTGGAAAAGAAATATGACAATGAGGACTCTGCTGATGTTTCAAGGGGTAAGAAGAATCCGTATCAAGAGACTACAAGCATGCACGAAGAGAGGAGTTACAAGCAGACAGCTGTTTGTACGGAATCGACTGCGAGTCCAGAGATGTTTGATATGGTGCTTCTGTGCAGTGGAGGAAGAAATGAATCTGCACTTCGGAAAGCATTGCAGAATGAAGCAACTAAAAATGCTCTGCAAAATAGTCAACCTAAGGGGTCTAATGGTGGGAAAAATCGTGGCAAGAAACCGGGAGGCAGAAGGAATGTGGTTGATTTGAGAACCCTTTTGACCCTTTGCGCACAAGCTGTTGCATCTGATGACCGAAGGTCTGCTAATGAGTTTCTGAAGCAGATCAGACAACATTCGACTCCTATAGGAGACGGGATGCAAAGGCTTGCCCACTGGTTTGCTGATGGTCTTGAAGCACGTATGGCTGGATCTGGAACTCAGATCTACAAAGCCCTTATTAATATGCCTACATCAGCTGCTGACATCTTGAAAGCCTACCATATCTATCTTGCTACATGTCCATTTAGGAAGATCTCTAACTTCTTTGCAAATAAGACCATTATGAATGCGGCTAAAAATGCCACAAGGCTTCACATCATTGATTTTGGTATTCTATATGGTTTTCAGTGGCCTTGCTTTCTACAACGTCTCTCGTCTAGGCCTGGTGGTCCCCCCAAGCTTCGTATTACTGGTATTGATCTTCCATGTCCCGGGTTTCGACCATCAGAAAGGGTTGAAGAGACAGGACGACGCTTGGCTAGTTATGCTGAGACTTTTAATGTTCCATTTGAGTTCATCGCTATAGCTCAGAAGTGGGAAACTATTAAGATTGAGGATCTTATGGTCAACAAAGATGAGGTTGTTGTGGTGAATTGCCTTTATAGGTTTAGGAATCTGCTTGATGAAACTGTAGTGGTAAACAGTCCAAGAAATATTGTCCTGAACCTTATCAGGAAAATTAGTCCAGATGTTTTTGTACTGGGGATATTGAATGGTGCTTATAATGCTCCCTTCTTTATTACAAGATTCCGTGAGGCTCTGTTTCATTATTCATCATTTTTTGACATGCTTGAGGCTAATATTCCTCGTGAAATTCACGAGCGGATGCTGCTTGAGAAAACCATATTTGGACGGGAAGCCATGAATGTCATTGCATGTGAAGGTGCCGAAAGGATCGAGAGACCAGAGACATACAAGCTGTGGCAGGTTCGAAATATTAGGGCTGGATTCGAACAGCTTCCTCAGAATGAGGAGATAATGAGGATGGGAAAAGATTGGGTTACATCATCCTACCACAAGGATTTTGTGATTGATGAAGATGGCCACTGGATGTTGCAAGGTTGGAAGGGACGTGTCTTATATGCACTTTCTTCTTGGAGGCCAGTTTATTGAATTTGTTGGTACTACTTACGGGAAGGCAAGATGAGTGGTTGTTGCACATGCTGCGAATATCAATGTGTCTTTACTGTATATAGCTGCCAAGGTATTTGTCCATTCTCTAGACTGGTTTTTGCTAGTAAGTTAATTTCTTATTACTAGTCACAGAATATTACACTGTGTTAAATACAAGTACCGTGTGAAGAAGTTAATGTTTCTTAAGTACGATCCTTTAGCAGTTTTAATGAAAGCAGGTATAAGTATGATATCTATTGCACACGGGCCTGAAAAGTGGGTAGTTCTGGTGATCAGTAATGTGGTGGATTAAAGTCTTGTGATCAAAGAGGCTAATTTCTCCGATGATCCTTGTACCACCAAACATGCTGGTTTACACTTGAGAATTCATTGAAGCTGTAAAGAAAGAAGACCATTTGTAGCTGTGCATGTCAACACTCTAGTTAGTAGTTGTTTTTAGTCAAATCATAACTCTGCTAGTATGTAAAACACTGTTTTCAAAGGACTACGTTATGTAAGTGATTATAGTTTAATGATCCTGTCCAATTTAAGAACATGCTATTTAGCTTTATTTTCCAGGAATTTTTATTTATTTATTTATTTTTTTTGGGGGGTGGGGGTGGGGTGGGGGTGCTGCTGTGTAGATGACAAGTGAAATTATGTGTGGTTGTGTGGAAGTCGTAAACGTCTGTGCCTTCGTATTACTCCGAGTTATTGACTCTCAAAATCAGCTCCTGACGAGTTAAGATTTGTTGGTTATCTCATCTGTTTCACGACATGATTGCTTGTCATGTGGTGCGAAAATTTGCATGTCAATTGGTCGGATAACATAGCAGTTCGGACTTGGAATTCTAGTTGTAAATTAGTAACTTGCATATCAGCTAATCCGTTTTATTTTTCTTTTTCTCTGATCGTGTATTGCAGGATGTCAATGCTCGTATTGGAATTTCGTGTGATATATATATATATGACTAGAGTATGGTTTGCACCTTTCACATTAAGAGTTTATGCTCTGATAGAATCATGTTTATGAACAAGATTAAACCACCTGTAAGGTCTGAACTGTGTAGTTATTCCGGTGCATTCTAGTTACTTCTCGACCTAGTCTATTCAGTATAAACAGCTGTCTATTTGTTTTTCCTCGTACCATACTTTCTTGATACGGATTTTTCTTAGCCCTGGACACATTGGGAAAGTCATCGTCGTCGTCATCATCACCGTCTCTTTTCCAGCTGAACTACCCAAACTGCCGTCCCCCCCTTCTGAAATTTCAATGATTTCTGAAACATGCACGCTTAGTCCACAATGCAAAGTTAAATCTTCCTTGCTGCATGTTTCAGATGCAGCATCAGAGCTGCACGGTGTAATAAGCAAAGTTGCAATATATAAAATCCTATTACTCGCTTAGTCCACAATGCAAAGTTACAGGTCAAATGGCAAATCACAGAGGTTTAAGAGGATCAAGATTTAGTTATTTGCCAGATATCCAATCTGTAGTGATAAAAACGCCTATAAATCAATTAACCACACAAAGTTAACTAAAGATAATGAAAATTAATCCAAGTACAACTTCGCTATCAAGCTTCAATAGGTTGGCACCGAAAGTGGATGCATCGAGGCTTAGATCAAGAGTCGAAAATCACAGCAATACCACACAAATTTACCCATTCAAATGGATCACAAAGGAATACCCAAAATCCGGCCAGAAAGACCACGGACAGAGGTGTGATCAAACAGGGACGAAATAGGACAGCAATAGGGGGGTAAAAAGGCACACGGACAGAGGCACGATCTGGTGCCCAAGTGCCTGAGAAGAGCCGACAAGACGCAGTGGAGGCCACAAAGAGGCAGAAGACAAGCATATTCCTATATATGGGTCGAGCCTGTCGAGTGGTCTTGATCCTCCTTCTTTGTAACTTGGATTTTCGACGTGCCAAAGTGCATTTAATTATAAGTTTTAAATGAAATTTATTGAATCTAGTATCCATCCTGATTATTCATCATCGCCTCGAGGTTCATTTGGTATCAAAATACCCATCGTCATCATAGGGTTAAGATACTACTATTATGGCTGAATAATCTTTCCACTGTTAATTCAAGGTATCAGAATAGCATAAACTTGTAATATATTGTTTGTGTTTCTCGTTATGTGATAAAAATACTGCACAATTTGAAAGAGACTTGAATTTACAATTCCTGAACAAACAGAAAGAAATCAACACTCGGTTTCACCCTGGACAGTTGCACCTGACGAGTATGTATGTATATGTATTCACATTTACATGATAATTCAAAGCACCTTTCATCGAATTTGAGTTCTGCCTAAAGACCACAGCCCAGTATCCTTAACCGGTGCCTGAAATTCCATGTAAATATGTCATTACGCAAATTCAGCTAGTCGGTAAGACAGTTACTGGAAGATGGTTCTCTTGTTAATTCACTTACCGGTGTCTTCACAGACGGAAATACATTCCAAAACCTCAATGTCTCATCCCCTGCTCCAGTCACTATAGTCTGCCCATCAGGAGACATTGCAAGGTAGAGTACTCGCAAACTATGTCCAGTTAGAGTCGCAACCTGTTCAAGTTTGTCAAACAAAGTGAGGTTAACGTCACTCTAAACTTTCTAAATTTACATTAAGCACATGTCTGAGAGCCATTTTGTCAAGATTTTAAACCAATTTTTGACCGTTGGAAAGGTCAGTGGGTCCCATTTGTTCATTAATTACTGACTGAATATGAATCAAGTTACCAAAAATGTCATTTTCAAAAAAGAATAAATTTTATTTTAAAGAGCATTGGTAATTTTAAGCCATTATTCAGTCAACAATTGCGATTCCATGCTATTCAAACATTGTATTAACGGCATGAACTTGGCTAAAAATTTGATATAAAATGTCTCCGTAAGATTTATGCTATAAATTCCTCTTTCAAGGTGGGGGTTCGATTAAAAGAAAAGATTCAAGGAGTATGATCGATCACCTTTGCCATTGATGGATACTTCCACACCATAATTTGATTTTGAGAATATCCATGAGTGCTGACCAGCTCATTTACATTTTTACTCCATGCTAGATTGCATACCTACAAAGTAAATTCCTGGATTGTATTAGTTACCTCAAACTTCTTGAAACAACGTGTAGCATAAGAAAAACATGATTTGAATTCAAAATCTTCACTGTTTGAAATAATAGAAACCTGGCTTCCGGTGTCCACGCTATTTATTTGATTGCCGCTGGTCGTATTCCAAAAGCGAATGCACCGATCAGCAGTTCCTCCTCCAGATGCAAGAAGACCACTCTGGTGAGGCGACCAGGTAATGGCCTTCACAGCAGCTGTATGCTCTGTCAGTTTCAAAATGGGTTGCTGGGAGCGCTGATTCCACACCAATAGCTGAATCCCAAAAGATGAAAATGCAAAGAATTTAGCGTTCTTTTGCTAAAATTTGATAGTATGCACGCAAGAAAATGTTCGTATTCATATGCAGACCTGATTGTCATTGCCACCAGATGCGAGTTCGCGGTCATCATGAGACCATTTCAGCCCACATACCTGAGGGATATCGAAATTAAGGTTAACCTTAAACCATAAAGAATGAAGTTTAATCCCAAGTGGATTCATCTTCGGTTCTTACCTCAGACTTGTGCCCAACAAGCTTGCTAATAAAATCACTTGGAACACGAAGATCGTGTTGGAGGATGTTTCGATCTCTACTTCCAGAGGATAATATGCGCGAAGACCATGCTAGTACTCCGGTTCTTGTTTGATGCCCTCCCATTGTTCTAACGCGCTTGCACTGAGTTCCATCCCAAACCTAAACAGCGAAACCATCACGATATGAACCCCCATTTGAAGCAATATTTAGCCGATATTCGACTCTGATAAAGAAGACGGAGATTACTACCTGAACTTGACCAAGATTTGTGCCAATTGATATATATGACCCCTCTCTTGTCCATTGGACTGAGCAGACTCCGTCGTTAGGTCCCAAATCACACAACCTCGTCACCTATGAAGAAATTGAAGTCTAGGTTAAGCCAGTTACTTCGTTTTTTAATGTTTCACACATAAGCGTGGGTTCGTTGCAATGTTATTCCCAATGATCCAACAGACGCTAAACAATCGAAACTTGGTTTGACAAAAGTACGATAAGCGGGAACTCACTTTACTATTTGAAGCACTCCATAGATATACACAAGTTCCCAATCCAACAGCAAGGACATTCTGAGAAGACCAGTCCACTAGGTTCAGGTAGAAGTCATCTTGAAGGGAAGGAGCATCTAGAACCTGAAATTTGAGAAAATTAGCCTATGATCAACTTCATATATTAAAACAAAGAATGATTTTTTCTCTGGTAATTTGCAGCAGAACAGAGTTTAGGGCCTAGTTTTTGATCGCTAACAATTAATCAAACACAAGCTTTTTTCAGTGCTCGGGTTTTCACATTCCGGGACAACTAAAGAGGCTAAATCGTTTTGCTCAATTCATCTCAGTAATGGTGTTTAGCCCAAATTTAAGATGATATTTCCCATTTATCTCGACCACCTGGTAGATCGTAAATAAAAATTCACAGACGGGGAAGAAGCCTTAGTCTTCTAATAGGAAGAGAACCTCGAAATTCAACTATAAATTAGCTTCAAATCTTAGATCAGACCAAATTATCTAGTACTTGAAAATTTGAAAAGAATAAAACATTTTATGTTGATAATGAATCCAGTTTGTCAGTTCTAGCAATTAAAGAATCCTATTATAGTACAATAATGTCATAGAAGCCTAAATCACACCTTGTGGGGAGTCTTGGGAACCTTCCTAGGTGGCTTGGGAGGAGTTGAGACCTCACCGGAGAGCCCACTGTCCTGTCCCAGAATCGAAGGCGAGTAAGGAGAATTAGGTCCCGGAGAATGCTCAGTCTTGAACCTCAGCATATTCCTGCTTGTGCTCATTGGAGACCCTCCTTTCACATTACCTGCAGAAAAATCAGAAAACCCAAAATCAGTCCCAAAAAGCTCGCTTCTCAACAACCTCGTATAGGCCTCACTTCCCCCTCCTCCTCCCTCCTTCACCGGCGATGCCTTTTCGATTAGCCCAAAAGTGTGTAGCCTAGACGACGATCTGCACGGAATGAACCTGTCACTGCATGCAGCCACAGATTTCGACGGTGACGAAGACGACGACAAGTTTGATATAGTCCTTGGCGACATTGACTTCAAAGGGGACGACAAATTGAAAGATGATGATCCCCTCTTTGGAGAAGAAGAGAAGTTATTGAGGCGTAAAGAGGTCTCAGACATTGAGGCTGGCAGATTAATGCCGCTCTTTCTTCTTTGCGATGTATCCATTTTTTGCTTTTTTGTTTTTGAGCTTTGAAACAATTCCGAGTTCAGATTGAGCAGGATTTGAGTGTTATGTGATAAAGGGTCTCTAGAAACGCCTCTCTTAGGAAGAAGAGAGGCTTTTCTTGGTTTGTCTCTTTTGGTAATGGAAGGAGGAGAAGGGGAGCTGCTAACGGTAAGTTTTACTGGATGCTCTTTTGTATGGGAAGAGAAAAGGGTTTAGGGGTTTGAATAAAATTGGTCATATAAGATTTACTTTGTAACGGTCACTTGGAAAGAGGAGCAGGGCGAGGGGGCGGGGGGGGTGGGGTCTATTAACTAGCCGTTAGATTTGAATGCTGTTCATGCGAATTGGAATGTCTTAATTTTTGGCTCGCCTTCTAAATTTAATTATCAATTATAAAGCAAATCTACTCTATCATTATTTGCCTAATTAGGTTTTGTCAAGATTTTAATTAAAGCCTCTTTTAGGAGAAGATGAAGAAAGTGAAAGAGAAAGAATTTTGATGGGTAATTATCCCCTTTCCTTTAAAAGAGAGGATCCAACATTTATTGTTCAACCTGAGGCAGCGATTTCACACTTAACTGATTTTGTATTGTAGCTTAACTCATTATGCACTATTCATCACAAAAAAAAGTTTTTCTGGAAATAATAATGAAATATGGCAGCATTATTGCTGTCTTTATTAACTTTATAGAACCATTTGCTGACGATTACTGTTGCTTCACTTAAAAAATATCATTTCACTTCGTTAGATGTTGTAGCTTCCCGAAATGAAATTAATGAGACCACTTTATTGCCTCCATTGTTGACTTACACAAGTGAGTTATTGTAGCTGTCCCTTCCAAAAAAAAATCTTCTCGTGCATCATGAGAAAGTGAGACAAAAATTATGTCAGCGAGTTGTAGGAATTTTTTATCATGTCAGTTACTGTTCGTTCAGAAAGCATGTCATTATTGTTCATTTGACACTTATATGCATACCGATGAGTCATTCACTCCTAGTCGAGTACAACAATTTTTTCCTTGTATAATTGATCTTGTGTTTTATACCACATAATATTTTTATTATAAAAATTGTCGCAAAAAAATAATAAACATTAATAAATAATTGATTTTTTTTAAAGAAGAAAGACGAGTTATACGTATTTTTTAAAACACACGATGTAAGTTTAACTATTTTCGATATTTATTAGATCATTCAATGTGTATATAACATAGTTCTCAAAATGAGTTTCGAGAGAATATAGAAGATTTATGCATTCGACTACCATACAATCATCGATGAATTTATAAAGTTAGCATGTTATTGAAATTTTTAATTTCTTAAATGATGTCTCTTTTGACATTAAAAAAATTTAAAAGTTTATTAGAAAATTTTCTAAATAACGTCAAAAATTATTGTCACAAAAAAATAATAAACATTAATAAAATAATTAATTTTTTAATAAAAAAGACGAGTTATGTGCATTTTTTAACACACACGTTTGATGTACTTTTAACTATTTTCGATATTCATTTATATCATTCAATGTGTTTATGATATAGTTATCGAAATCAGTTTCGAGAAAATATAGAAGATTTATAGTAGATTTTTATTAAAAAAAATCACTTAGTGAAAAAAAAAATAGAGCAACTTCGTGCATCATGAAACAAATGCTCTGTGAGCAAATGCTTCGTGATGCACGAAGTTGCTTCATTAGGCAACTTATTATTATTATTTTTATTATTATATAGATGATGTTCAGTGTCAAATTTTTTTAATTTTTTTTTTCATTAGGCGATTTATTTAGTTTTTTTTATATATATATAAAAATATATCATAAATCTTTATAAATATTCTATATTCTCTCGAAGTTTATTTCGAGAACTATATAATAGATACATCGAATGATCTAAATGAATATCGAAGATAGTTAAACGTACATCAAATGTGTGTTAAAAATGAGTATAACTCGTCCTTTTTTTCTTTAAAAAAATTAATTATTTTATTAATGTTTATTATTTTTTTGCGACAATTTTATCAATATAATTTCCTTTTTTCCTTGGTGATTGATATATTTTTTATACAAATCTATTTTACCCTTATATAATGTGACACGGAGTATATTAAATCATTTATATTGTTTATTTCCTAAAATTAGTTGTGATAAATCAAAGTAAAACTTAACACTATGTTGAAAAAAATTAATACTCAGTAAAAAAGATGTCAATTAATTTATTTGACGATATTGAATATTTTAGATGAATATAAATTTTGGAGGATTCAATTCAAATATATCAAAATTGGGTGATTAAATAAAAATCTCAACCCCATTTAAGTGAAAAAATATTACACTGTGACTCAGCTTGTGTCTGGCTCCATTAAATTTTTTTCTCATTTTTCTCTATTTTATTTTCAATCACAGAATCTTCCATAAAATAATATTATACATAAATAAAAAAATTCATTAAATCGATTGGATATTGAACAATAAAAAAAAGATTCGACTAATTACACGATTTAGTTATATTGAATATAGTTATCATCAAATAAGTCCTTTATATGTAAAATAACCACTCAAACTAAAATAATGTTTGATTTATGAGCTCCAATAATTTTGGTTTTTAATCTATGCATCAAGGAAACATTTATCCTATCCCCAGAAAATACATTTCAATTATAGCAATACAAAATTGAGGTCAACTAATTTTTCATCTTAATATTTTAACATCTGAAATTTTTTTATATATAAAAGAAATTCGATTGTTTTTAGAAATTTTTTTCTTATTGTTACTTTTTCTTCTCGATCAATTAATTTTTTTAAATAATCTAATAAATTTTTTGACGTCATTCAGAAAATTTCCTAATAAACTTTTAATTTTTTTTAATGTCAAAAGTGTGTTATATATGAAGATTACATTTCTATTTATCATTTTAAACAATTAATCAAATTTGTAGATTTATTAAGAGAATTAAATAGATATTTTAACACGTTAATAACTTAATATTACCTAAAAAATGATATAGCACGGGCGGAAAACTAGTCTTGTATAAAAAGCTCGTACCTAGTGTCTTCTTATTGTATGCAAACAACATCAATAGTCATTCATCCCATCCCATCCTATCCTTTCAATCAATCTCTTTTAAATTGAGATTGTTGGATATTGATACTCCAATATATTTTCTCCTTTCGTCTAGAATACCTTTTACATCAATTCTTTAAAATTCACTTTGTTTTTAAATTTATTTTTAACTGCACATTTCATAATATCCACAACTTTTATCAACTTTCCAACTACATAATTCACCGACTTTTAGCAAAATCTAATAAAAATCTAAATTTTGTCCAAACTAAACATGGGCAAAACCCTTTTCAATTTCAAGAACTAAACATCAATAACAAACACAATATACTGAATTATATAAGTAGCAAGGTAATTGTTTCGCGCGAGTTCGTCGCTAACAATTAAAAAGGGATCAGACGATTGTGTAAGGGACAAATCTCTTGAGACAAAGTCCAAAAAATGGGTGTTCTTTATTGGCGATATTTTTACAATCGGAAAGTAAAAACAGAATGTCTCCAAGGGGCGCAAGCACACGAGTTACTGAAAGAAGTATTTAATTCTAAACTAAGAAATTTAAAATTACATGTTCTCTGTTCGAGAATTTTTTTATTTGGGGGGCCCCTTGCTCTATGTCTTTTCTTCCTTTTATACTCACTGGATGATCTCTTTGTGATCAACCACCTAAAAACTGCTTGATCGTTCTATAACTACCCACTTTCCTCGTAATGGCCAACTTGTCATGGAACTGCCTTTTTTAACTGCTGCAATTACTCTTCGTCGTTCAACCGTTTTCGATTGAATTCCTTGAATCGTGGAACGTGATAGGGCTGCTTAATAACTGTTTTGATAACTGCGCTTCTTGATAACCACAACACTTCATGTTTGTTAAGACCTTGGGCGACTCGAAGGTTTGGGCGAGAATAGAGTAGCAGTTCTGGGCGACTGCATGACACTCCATTCGCTCAGATCCTGGGCGATTTTCAAGCTTGGGCGATGGTGTTACCGCGTTCATGGGCTTTCCTATTTGGGCCTTCATCCTGAATTGTCTGATTGGGCTTCATTCTTTGGGCTATCTGATTTGGGGATCCTCCAATTGGACTTCATTCCTTGGGCCGTTCGATTTGGGCTAAATTTTTATGTGTCAACAATTATCCCCCAATATGGTAGAATTAATACCAATTATTAAATTTTGCCATATTCACTTTTGTGTTTCCAGCAACATTCGAAATTCTCAAGAATTTCAATCATTGTTTTCTTCCATAGCTTTGAAAAGGTGCGACATTTTGCAAACCCTTATAACCCCTAAATACGCCATTTCTGCACCATTAAATCACGCCTCACTTTTTCGCGTTTCTCTCCCACAATTTACTGTTCATCTCTTTGCTTCCCTACTACGTAACTCTGAAAAACTCCGTTTCGTCCCTAATGGCTACTTCACAATCTCAATCTGGTGACTCCTTTAGTTTTGATGACTTTCAGAAACTCCTTAATCGTCCATACATAACTCCGAACTTTCTCACACCTGCCAATGTCGAACTCAATGAGTTCTACCTAGGTCCTTTCTTCAACAATGTAGAGGCAGTCGAACAAGTGGTGGTGGGCCAGCTGTTTCTTTGTACTCAAGGCCCTCCATTTCTAAACTCTATGTCGCTGGGGCCACTTCGCGAAAGAGGTATTCGCACTTGGCCCAAATCTGACGTAATTTTCCGTAGGTGGCATGCTCGCTTTGTGGACCATGGTCCTACTAAGGCACTTTTTGATAATGCAAGGATTTCTGATTTGTTAGAAATCTCTCTTCAACCCCCTAATTTTGATTCAATACTTTTTTCGATCGCTTTAAGTTTTTGGTTTTCTGAATATAATACTTTTGTTTTCCCTCTTGGCCCCATGTCTATTACTTTAAGGGATGTTGGGGCCCTAGTGAATCTGCCACCTTTGGGCGATACCATTTTTCCTGGTATCTTGGTTTCTGGTGGCGCCCAAAGTTTGGTAAAACCCTCATCGAGTCTTATTCAAGCCTGCAAACCCTTCATAACCATTCGAGCACTGAGCCTTCCCATACTGAGCGAGTGGCCTTTCTTCTGGTTTGGCTTTGTAAATATGTTTTGTGTGTGCCAAGCATAAAGCCCTCCCTGAGCTATTTACCGATAGCGCACGAATTGGCGCGTGGCAGG